CCCCCCCCCCCAAAGGGGAGGCAAGTGAAAAGCATGGTTCTGGAGAAAATTGTGCAAGCAGGCTCCCAAGGCTGTTGCAGCACAGCCCCATGCTGGGATTCCTAGTGAGCTGGACCCAAGCTGATATTTGGAGAGGCCAAAGGAATTTGCCCAGAAAAGTCTCTCTGTTCTGCAGGGTCATAAGAAATGCTTCGGGGTGTTGTGTTTTCACTCTCATTTTAATTGACACAGTAGGATTCAGGTATTGAAATTAGAAAGTGAGGCCATAGCTTTTGCTTTTTTTCATAAATGGATACATTTCTTGTAAATATTTGTGGGAAAACAAACAGTGTCCGCTTTCAGATGTGCCTGGCAGCAGGCGCCTGGGCAAATTACTTAACCCTTCACAAGCAAGCCTTGCTCTCGCTCCTCTGTAAGCTAGGATGAGTAGCTGCCCTCCCCCCAACCCCCTCACAAAACATCGGAGTGTTCACAAGCTGTGTTTGCCCACCCAGGAGCAGGGCCACTAAGACTGACAGCGACATCACCTGGTCAGCTCCAGCCATTGTCATCCTGACTGAGCCTCGCTTGTTTACGATCTTACTTCATTTGGGGGCCCTGTCCTATTGCTTCCCTGCATCTTCCAGAGCAGAGGGAGCGGCAGGCCTGCCATTATTTGGCGTTTGAACCTCTTTCGGGGAGGGGGGGAACAAAGCGAGACAGCAGCTGAGTGAGTCCCAGAGTATCATACCAACCCGTGCCCAAAGCAGCAGACAGGGTGCAAGCAGGGCTGGGCCACCCGGCTGGCTGTGTTCCCCTTGGTAATCGGAAGTCCTAGCACTTCAGGCACAGCTGCAAGGAGGTGACTCAGCCCCATGCTCAGAAGCCTCCTACTGCATCTGTTGGACTCAAAAACAGGCCTATCACCCAGTGGGGTGCTTTCCAAGCAGCAGGAGTTCAGGCCTGGGAGCCAGAAACAGCCCTGGGTTCAAATCTTGGCTCTGCTACCTCTGCTTACAACTCTGTGATCTTGAATGCATCATCCGACCTCCCCAAACCTCAGATTCCTCATCTCTCAAATGAAGGATAGATTCTATCTACCCCGTAGGTATTTGTGAGAATTAAAAATCCAGTATGAAAACTACAAAACACAGTGCCCAGCACATAATAGCTGGAATTAATGGTAAGAATAAATGAGGGTTATGTTATTTCTTAATGTGTGAGAGTAATTTATCAGCACAATCTCTGATAATCTCTTTAAAATATTTATATTCATATTGATAGATCAGGGAAGAAGGAAGTGAGAGACTCCTTTACCATCTCTGTCTCTTTTTAATTATAATGCCTTAATATATATATATATATATATGTGTGTGTGTGTGTGTGTGTGTGAATTTTTGTCCATTCCTTCCTTCACCTTTCTGAGCCCTTTCTGTCCGTCATGTTTCCATAGCAACCTGGCCCCTTCCTGCCCTTACGACCACAGAACCATCTAGTGAGTATGGACCTGAGCTGCTCTTGGCCAGGTGGCTGCTTGTTGCAGATCCAACTTCTGGGTCACAGTGCTGCCCATGGTTTTCCCTTGCCTTAAAGCAACGGTTATGAATGCATGGCCGCTCCTCACCCGTGTGGTTTTCTAAGCATGCTGTCTGATTGGCCAAGAGAGCAGACCCGCGTCACCCAAAGAACTGGGTGATTATTTAAAGAATGCCGTGTGCGTGAGGAGACTTTTCCAAATTTACTCTCAAGTTAAAATTAGAAAAGAATTAGAGAAAGGCTGATGAGACAAAAGAACAGCATCTCTTCCCAGCTTTTGTTATCTCCCCCGCACACTCACACACACTGACTCTCATATAGCAGTAGCTAAGAGACAGAGAAGGAGGGAAGGAGTAGGAGAGCTGGCTGTTTGCGGAAAGGCAGAGGGTGAAGCCAAGGAGGAAGGAATGGCTGTGTCCTGACAGCCTGCCGCCTTTGTCTGGCCGCAGTGGAGCAGCTGTGTACACAGAGCACGCGGGAAGGGGGGGCGCTTCCAGCTCCTTGCAGCCCTCCTCAGTGCAAGAAAAATCACGGCCCAATGAAAGTTCCGGAATTCATCTCCTGATGATAGTTAGGGCCAGACCATATCATCTTTTCCATCGTGGAAAACATTACACTTCATCACAGCCATGCATGTTCTAAGCTAGTCTTTACAATGCCCTAATGAAGCAAGCTGTGGGTTTGGCCTCAAATCCCCTGACAGATCAGCGGGAGGGGTGTGTGTGCGTGTGTGTGGTGTGTTTACAACGTGTGTCCTCAGCTGTGAGAGACTTAGATTTTATAATATTTCTGAGTGCACCGAAAACATGGCATGCATTCCCCTGAGCAGGGGTCAGAGTGGGGAGGCAGGAGCAGGCATGTCCAGCAGAGCTCCTGCTCCCGGGCCAGGGCTTCTGATCCAAAATGGAACAGAAAAGAAAAGCTTGTCCTGGTCTGTGTGTTGCATGAAACGGTTCTTTTTTCTACTACAGAGCCTAGCTAAGGGCCTGTTTTCTTGGTGTTCTCTCTGTGTGTGTGCTGCAGTGAATTTTAATTCCTGATGCTTTTGAGGTTTCATTTTGTCAGCAGAGCAGAGCAGGTGACAGTGAACTGTGCTCACATGGGTTTAATTCAGATGCTGGGTTTTTGCATTTGGAAAAGGAATGCAACTAACAGCACCCTTTCTTCCCCTAACTGTCCTCCCCCCTCCCCCCCCCCGGGTGCCGTGTGTGGGCCAGTGCAGTGGGAGGAAGCTGCCTTTTGCGTTCGCACAAGTCCTGTCATATTTAAGGTGGCTCCCTGTAGGCTCATCTTCTCTGGAAGTAAAATACAATCTTGGATCCAGATCTTTCCTTAAGGAAGAATTAGGTGTTTCTCCCCTGACTTGCATTTAACTTTTAAACATCAGGCATTTCTGCCCACAGATAAAATGCTTAGTGGTGACATCCAAAGAGAAGAAAGTTTGAGTTTTTATTTTGAACCACTTGACTACTGACCCAAATTGTAGGTCCCAGTGGATACTGAGATAAAGGAAAGACAGTCACAGTTGGGCAGCAGCCTGTATGTAGCACGAATAGCACAGGTGAATAAATGGCAGTGGAACTAACAACACAGCAGTTAGAAGCCTACAAAATCCACCAATCATCAGGCAGTCATTAAGGTTCAAAATAGCTAATGTCCCCTATTTTTGCTAGTGTGTGTGTGTTGATCTGTTTATAATTATGAATGAAGGTATCCTAAAGAAAATCAAAGGATAAAATTTTCAGCTGTAACTATTCCTGCAGGGCCCTGATGGTGGGGATGTGCCAGACCTGTGCAGCTTCAGGCAACAAGGAGCACGCCTGCTATCAGCTCACATTGGCAAGGGAATATGTCACTTGCTTAAGGCATTTCTCTCGAATTATTTTTAAACAGTGGCAGGCTTTGGGCAGAGGGGTATCGCCACCCCCCCTTCTTGGCCCTCCTTCTGCCTTAGCTTCAGTTGGCAATTGCCAAAACTGCCCTTGGCCTATGAAAGTTGAGGTGGGAAACCCAGAATGCCTTTGAACAAAGCAAGGTCATCTGTGTCACATTTAGGTAACAAATTGGAGTGTAAATCCAACTAGGACAAAAAGAGATGTAGATAAATCCAAATAAGAAAAGTATTTTTTTCATTTAAAAAATCGAGACGTGTCTTATGCATGTAGCCGCAGTTCTAAGGAGGCATCTTACCGGCAGGTGCCCCAGCCTTTGTTTAATGGCAGACTCCCGCTCCTCGGGCAGGGGTGTCGTTTGTCCTTCACTTTCCAGAGCCGTTGTCTCAGCGCCAGAGGAAACCTGTTCCCTTTCTGCATTGGCAACTCCTTCATATGCATCTCAGCTGGGCATCTCCCCCGGGCCTCCAGGATAATGCGGGTGGATGAGCAGGGAAGAGAGAAAAGATCCCCGGGGCCACCTTCTCTGCCCGCATTTGCCGAATGGCCCTCAGCCCGCGGCCCCCAAAGGGACCGTGGGATGACTTTCCTCAGCGTAACGTCCCGCCCTGTTCTTGCAGAGCACGAAGCCTGCGCCTTAAACATCACGGACTCCTCCTTCATGACCACCCCCCGCCCCGCTTCCAGGACGCCAAGATGATTCTGGAACCCGCGATGATAACCTGCGTTTTCTTTTCCTTCAGCAGCCTCCTGGATTGGCCCTGGCAGCCGGGTCCTGACAGCAGCACCTCCCCGTTTTAAAGCCAGTTTACTGCTCCTTGACGTGCTATTAATATGCAGTGTTGCCGCTGTATCTAATGCTTGTCGGTGTTAACCAAGTGCTCTTTATATTTATGATTCTCCGTTTCTGGGCCGTTTTACTGCCCTCCCAATGTTTTCTATATATGCAGCTAATTTAATTTGATTTCTCCTTTTATTTAGTCTGTGATTTTGTTGTTGATTTTTCTCCCTGCCCATTGTTTACATCAGTTTTTAATTTTTTTGTATTTTCCATGTGACCTTCTCCACTTTCCTTTCAACCAATCATGTGCGTGCGTATCATGTGACTTTGTCATGTGGCTTGCATGGTGCTGATGATGTCGTCCACGCTGGTGAACAGAAGGTAAAACTCTTTGTTCTGATAAGTGAAATAAATCTGGGACCACAGCCTGGCACCTAGGGCCCACTCACTGCTTCCCGTCTCAGATTTCCTAAGCGAAGCCATTTGGGAGAGTTCCTCTTGTTTACAATTCATAGGCAGAATCCATCATTCTTTGCAGCCTTAATATGACAATTTGATACCAGGACAGTCTTTGGTTTAATATTTTGCTTTAATAAATTTGGCCACGCAAACTGCTATCTACACTAAAACCACTTAGCCACAGCAGTTTGCGAACTGGAAGTTTTATCAGATAGTCCATAAAAATTATTTCCCAGAAAGCAGTTTTGTAAATTAGCCTTACAGCATTGTTGTTTAGCTATCCAGTAGTTCTAAAAACCACAATTGCTCTGAAATGAGTCATATTTCTGTGAAAATGTATCTGTTCACAACAGCGAAACCCTACAATTGCAAAGGTTGTATTTGCTCAAAACCAATGAGAGCGCTTCACTAAATTCACGCAAATTGAGGACTTTATGAAATGAGAGATTTAAGAATTTTGAATTAGAGCAGTTTGGCTGTGATTGCTGAGGGGTCACTTTTCAAGAGTGACCCTCTCCCGGGCAGGGGCGACAAATCAAAGCAAAAGTCACTTGGCAGTTACCATGACAGGAGATCTCTATGGAACCAAGAAGCACGTGATTGGCCATTGCAGCAAAGGAAACAAAATTGTAGCCTAATTAAGTACATAGCAGTGACAAGATAATTAGTTAATATTGCGACTGTCACAACCTTGTGAAAATATTTCGGGCTCACCATACAGAGAAAGGCGGCCCCTGCTCACAGCTTTCCCAGCGGAAGCAAACATCCATTCAGAACCTGCCCCGGGAGTCATAGGCATTCTGTTCTCTGCCCACTGAAATTTTACTTCAAATCCCCGCCTGAGACACACACAGGCTGCACTGATCCCAAAAGCGAAACTAACCCCAATAACCGCCCAGTGTGCCCATGCATGCGAGGGCCCCCGGTTGACCTCACTTCTCTGAAAACTGATTGGGCGACATCCACAGGAACAAACCCATCCACAGCTTGTCTCGCATGTTCTTTGCTCCTGGTCTGTCCTTCCTTCCGCTGTGTGCTCCCCACGTATGTGAGCCCTGTGTAAGTTCCCTCTCGCTCCCTCTCCACACTGGCCACCTCTGAGGCTTCGGCTCTCTGGGCATGGCCACTGTGTCCCTGGTTAGTCCCATCTGCATCCAGACTCCTGGAAAGAGGTCTTGGATCAGACCTGCCGTTATTTCTAAAAAGGAGATGTTTGATATTTACGTTGTATGAAATAAAGTAGGAATGTCCCCAAAGCAGGGAAACATCAGATCGTATCTTTGACCTACTTTAAAAAATATCCTAATCTGTGAGTCTTGGGGCAGGGACTGTTGGGAGCCTAAGCTTTTCTTAACTCCGTGTCCCAGCCTAAATACTGTGGTTCCGTCATTTCTCCAAGGGGGGCCAGGCTCCTTTAGACCTATGCTGACTGCTCAGAGGCTGATGTATTGGAACAAAGCATGGACCTTCCCCCTGAAATCTTAGTGTGAGCAGCTGTTGGGTTGAAACATGTCAGTTTCTTTTTTAAGAACAAGCTTGGCCATTTCTGTGCAATACTATAACTCAGAGTAAAGCAAATCCCAGTGTTCACAAGAGAGAAACAGCCACCGCTCTGAGGAGAGAGCTCTCCCAGACGTTTTCAGCGAGGGAAGAAACGTTTGAAGGTGTTTCCTGCAGCTGCCCTAGAAACGCACCTTAGCAGTGATCTCGGCTGTCAGTAAAAAATGTGACCATTAACTACAGCACTGAGAACCTGAAGGGTTCCGAAGCTCCATCACCCTTCATCAGCCACCTCCCTGTCTGTGACAGACCCTCTCCTGCCCATTGCAAAGGGACAGGCAGAGGACTTGTCATTCAGATAAGCAGCAAGCAGCAAGAAATAGCCTTTAATAATAAAATTTAAGGGAACCGAGAGATCAAAGAAAATTTACGGGGGAGAGAAAGCAAGCTTGGTTAAGTAAGGGCAGCTATTGCCTCCTTTCTCTGGGCACTAGTTGGGCCTAAATGAGGAAGGTGTGGTGAGCAGGGAGTCTTTCTCCTGGCAATGGGTTGTACACCCAGCAACTGATGAGATCCAGTGTGCCCTGTTAACCATGCCCCCCAAAATTGCCTGGGATGCACTTAGCATGTGCTAGATGATCTGTGCACCGTAGGTCACCATCCACAGTGTCACTGAGCCCAGCAGCCCTGAATTAGAAGAAGGGAGGTGAGAACGGGCGTTGAGCACCGGGCCCCAGAATCACTTGGCTCCTGAGCCTCCCGAGCTTTGCATGTGGGGGTTCATAACAGGGAAACCTGCCGGAGAGCTAAAATGCCCTGATACGCACACATTTATTTCTAATATGGCATGTGTAACTGCAGGGCTGCCTCCTCCAGTGACCCATCAGCTCCTGAGGACTCTGTAAATGGGACCGTTCCCCCAGCATGTGTGTGACGAGAGGCCCCGCACCCCACTCCCCTGTCAGTGTGCTGCATGTTGGAGCATGGATCCCTCCCCACCCGCTCATAATGATCTTTTTTTTATTTAGCTACTGACACTGACTCGCACTAGGACATGCTGGTTCTGAGACTAAACCCTGTAACACTCACTCTTCCTTCTTAGACCGAAACATCACTAACCACCCCTTCCACTCCCTCCTTTATTTTTTACAGCTGTGTCTGGATCGCCACGGTCTCGGGCAGGTGGACATAGGCTTCCCACCAGGGCTTCTGCTCTAATTGCCTTTGTTCCCAAGGACCCCCTGCACTGGTTACCAGGGTGGAGAGCTAGCGGGAGGGGACCCAGAGCAGGCAGTGACGGTCCACCCAGACCCTGCGGGCAGGGACGGGGCTGTGGATAGAGCCCGCACCCCCAGGGTTCACTAGCGCGAGGTTCCTCCCAGGAGTAGTCTGACATCCAGGAGACAGGCTGACCTGTGCACGCCCCCCTGTGGCCTCGAGGCGGAGCCCAGCTAATGGTTGGCAGTGGCAGCTATTTCCGTCATAACTCCCTCCGCCTGGATCAGCCCCATAACCACAAGCCATACCTTCGTGGTTCTGTTTTCCTCTAGGATAGTGAAGCAAAGATAATTGGCCAATTAATCTGTTGGTGTTTTCATGGCACCCACGAGAAGGGAACTGGTATTTTGTGGTTTGGTCTGTCAGAGTTCATTTGTATTTCGTGCCACCATTTCCCCCCCCCTTCCCCCCCATACACACTCTCATTCCTAATTCCTGAGAACTGATGTGGGAAGGGATCCGTGAGCTAGACGCCTCCATGAGCTTGGCCACAGAGAGCAAGCATCCTTTCCCCCTGCAAGCTGGGCGCTGGGCGCTGGCCACGCCCACACCCGGTCATTCTGTACCCCACATTCCCTGGAGCCAGGGACCAGGATGGCAAAGAGCCAGGTCACACTAGCACAAGCAGACCCTTAACAATTAAGAGAAAAGAGTTCAGGAGAGCCATTAATCAAGTGTACGTGATTCCCAAGACTTGATTTGGGGGAGCAGTGCTTAAGACAATTGATTCCTACCTGGGCACCGTAGGCTGCTCTCTGGGACTGTCAGAAAGCCACCTCAGCACATTAGGTAGGTTGTCAAAGGGGTCATGGGGGAGAGTTTGAGGGCCCAAGAATGTATGCAGCCTAGAACTCATTGGATTCGCTGGCTTGGCATCTAGGGCGAAGCGCTGGGTCTCGAGGAGGAGAGTTCGTGGTCTAATAACGCTAAATCCTGATTCCCTTACGTAATTTGCTGACCCCCTAAGGACCAGTCAAACTTCTAATCTCTTGATGTAATCGTGAATGTTCTTGAGTTGGAAAAATCAAATAGGCTTCATATTTGAACAGCTAAATCATACATTTTGGACTTTTAAAAACGATAAAAAGGCATACGAAAGTTTCAGATTGCTTGTAAGAAATAATCAACAAAAGGGAACAGGAGGTAGGATAAACAAAAGGAACCGTAATTTAATGCTGGGCAATCCTAGCTGATACAAAAAGAGGAAGATTCCAATGCAGCTCCTACATTCATCACTGGTTTATCTCAGATGCCCCCAAACTGCGATTCCTGTGGGAGAGAAAGCAGAGTGGGTGAAGGAAGACCCCGGGTTGACCCATCCTTTCTCAGGGGTGCCTGTTGGCACCCTAGCCTTCCATTCAGAAGATATAACTCCTGGTGTTTGGCTTTTTTTGAGTAAGAAGTAGTATAGTGTTTTCTTTCCAAAATTCACAAATGCTGTCTGAACGCCCTGGGCTCCCTGTAACTCCTGCTGCGGGATGCAGACATCCGGCAGCAGTTTTCTGACCCCAGAGCTCCTGCTGACGAGGGAAGGGCATGAAGCTGACGCCGGTTTTAAGGCACAGTAACACAGTTATTACAAAGAAGAACACACAACATGCATGGCCAGAAATACACATTCTGATTACAGTTTCTGAGGGGAATTCTAGGGCCTTCATGTAATATTTCTAACTATAGGTGGTCTCTGTGGTACTTTTTTTCCCCTTGCATAAATGTCACATTCTTCTGGAAAATGCCATCACTGCTTCATATTTCATATTTGTTATTGGCAAGGTCTATTTTTAAGGTACTGATGTTTTAGTCTTTACATAAAATATTTGGGGGGGAAATATGACTCATGGCTGAAGCTAAACTCAGAGGGTGTAATTAACCCCAGGGGTGTTCTTGGAGCAACCCGCCGATTGCTGCTGAACTGCAAGCCAGCATTTACAAATAATTACAATATTGGTTTTGCTGAAATTATCCATAATGATTTCAATCAGAGCAGCCATCTCAGAGCAGAGTGCACGGTGGGCCCTCTAAATAATTTCCTCTGCTAATGTGCTCTCGAAAGCCTGGAGCCTCCTGAGCGCCATGCCCACTTCTTCAGCCTCAGCCCCTCCCTCCCTCACCAGGCTGGCTAGAGACTTCTTTTTTGCAGAGAGCTCAGGAAATAGTTTCTTTACTCCTTAACTAACCTTTAAAAAAAAAAAAAAAAAGGCTGGCAGTAAACGTTTAAAGATGCATAAGAGAATCGATTAAACGTACATTGCTCTGTCCACATCTTGATATGCTTACAATAAGTTACACAGCCGCAAAGTTGGGCAGGAGCCCTATGATGTTGGTTGAATATGCGCTTCCTTTAGAAATACTGTCATAGGAAGGGTTATGTTTCTATACACAGGCCCCAGCATTTTTTTAAAAATTGATTATAACTTAGTTTTTTCATTTGGCAAATAAAACCTTGTCTCACTCACCTGTGAAACTCCGATACCTAATAGCCTACCTGGTACCCAGTAAGTACTGAGTACACATTTGTTGAATAACTCATATTTAAAGCACTGTGAATGACACCCCTGGATATTCTGTGATATAAAATGCTCTAAATTCTATGGGAAGGTAGTACACACATATCAGAGTAACATGGTTGTCACTCAGATAAAATGATAGCAAGTTACAGTGTTCTAACTGATAAATGTTACAACCATGTTCTAACTGGTATGGTTTTTAGGGGTTTCTCTGTGATCCCAATGATGTTTTTTCTGAAACATATTCAAAGATAGGAGAGTACCTTCATCAGGGCCATTGGTTTCTACAGAGACTCCTTGGCAAGATTATTATTCGTAAGTCTTTGAAGAGACTTGGGGTCTCTTTTATTTATTTATTTATTTATTTATTATTATTTTTTTAATATATCTTTATTGATTTCAGAGGGAGGAAAGGAGAGGGAGAGAGAGAGATAGAAACATCAATGATAAGAGAGTCATTGATCGACTGCCTAGCCCGCAACCTGGGCATGTGCCCTGACCAGGAATCGAACCCCGATCTCCTGGATCCTAGGTCGACACTCAACCTCTGAGCCACGCTCGGCCGGGCTTGGAGTCTCTTTTAAAAAATAAGACTTTTTTGAGATAACTTCAAAAAGAAATTTTAAAGGACAACTTTGTGCCTAAGAAATACAGAATTGTTGATTTTGGAGTGCATTTCCTAAAAGTGGATGAAGATCCCATGTTCTGTGTTCTGTCTCTTATAGTGTCATGAAAATAGCCACAGTGATCTTACAGTCCATCTAGGGCAGTGTCTGGCATGTGTCACAGTGACGTCAGAGTGAGAACACCTGACCCAATGCCTGCGTTTTGCAAATTTGGAGACTGGGGCAGTGACCTGTCCAAAGCAACAGACCCTGGGCTCTTCTGTGGCATCCTTAGCATTCAGTTTAAAGGGATCCCACATACATCAGAAAAAGCACCTCGTCTAAACAGACCCCCCAAAAGCACAGATCCGTGCCATATTGGTTCAACCTTGGGAGCCCACACTGCTCAAGTCTGAGAAGAAATAATAATAGTTTAATCTCCGTTTCCCTTCCATGGAGTCCCTGGGGAAGGGCTGGGTCCTGGCCCAGTGGTGCGTTAGAAGGGCCGCTGATGGCATCTCCTTCCTCCCCCACTTCTTAAGGCAAACAGGCCACTCATCACAGAGCCCATACTGGGATTCTGAAGACAGAAAGTTGTAATGACTAGTGTCCATCTCCATTCAGCCCCAGGTCACCAACCCCCCAGTTTGCCTGGGACTCACGGTTTCTCCAGAGCCTAAGACTTGTTGTGCTAACACCCAGAGGGTCCCAAGCTAACCGGGATGAGTTGGTCACCCTAATTCAGGCAGAGAACAGAATTGGCAAAGTCTCCTGAGTCTCCTACTTCTACTTGCTCAGCATTGGTGGGGGATACAGAGCTGACCCACTCTAAACTGCTCCCCTGGAGTTTCCTCTCAGCACTGGGTATTTATGGTGAGATAAGGCCTGGCTGGGCTACTGTCTGAGACTTAGCGTTCGTGCCTTGACATTATCTAAATCAAACTTCTAAATATTCTCCAGAGTCACTGGGGCCCGTGGCTACACAGCGGCATAAAAGCAGGACGAGTCTTTGCCTGAGGCCCCTTTGTCTCTTTACTCTTGTTTTTCTTTTCCCCTAATCACTGGCTGAAGAAAGCAGACAGATTGAGCACAGCTCTTTCTGGGCACCGGGTGGCTCGGTCTCCAGGGCTGCGCCCCTTGCCGTCGCAGCATCTGTGTGCCCGTGGCTGCTGCTTCTCAAGCCCGAGTGTGCACACTGCTCCTTGAGACCCTGTTGAGTGAGCTCTGCATTTCCTAGGCGCTCCCGGGCGCTGCGCCCGGCCCGGCCGAGTCCCGGGCTCTCCTTGCGAGCTCTCCGCTTCCTCTTTGCCCTAAGGAAGAGCAGGACGCAGGGCCGTTTTGAGGTCCCCAGAGTAGCTGACCGAGGACAGTGGGCTGGCCTGGCCTTGTCAACAGCCTTCTCACAAGTGGCCAAAGGTACACTTTTGAGTGATTAGGTTCAAGCCCTAATGACAAGCCTTTCCTGGCTCTTGTCACATGTCTGTGGTTCTGCCTTCCAGAGACCACGCCAGGACAGTCCACGCAGGTCACTGTTTTCCAGGCTCCCTCGACGTTCCAAGTGAGGCCAGGAAATCCGTTCAGAGGTGGCTCCCCAGAAAGTGCAGGATCCCCCAGTGTGCTGAATCTTCGTTTTCACTTTTCATGGCAGATGTCTTCTTACCTCATTGCTCTCAGCATGTACTAATGAAATGGTTTCTCTTAAAGTAAACCAGCGCCTCACCCACTGACGAGCCAGCCCCGCCCCGTAGCCTGCCACACACAAGTGCACCTTCCCCCTGCCTCGGGTGCAGAAGGAAGACAGGCGTGGACCTCTTTCTGCTGAGAACCGCTAGAGACAGTGTTCTCTGGCTCTCCACACAAGAAAAGGACTTCAGGGTTGTCCCTTTAATGCCTGGCGCCGAGGGTTCTCTCTTAGTCAGCTGAGCCATAAATGCAGGACACATATGAAGCTTGCCTTGGCAAATTGTGCTTTACTTCATCACAGCCGGAAACTTATTTTTTAATGGATCCAAGTCATAAAATTACTTAGATATCCAAGGAAGATACTGAGCTGTTTTGAAAAGTTATTTTATGTATGTAAACTTCCTCCTTAAATGCATCCAGTTTCCCATATTTCAGGCTATTTCTCAAACCATCAGGCTTATAAAAGTTAAATCTTCAATTATAAGAGCAGAGCAGCCAAAAGAAAATGCAAGTACCAATGAGAAACAGAAAGAAAGAAAGAAAAAAGCCTATTTCTAGAATGTGAAAGGACTGTGTTCATAGGGAGGGTGTTTCCAGAACATTCCCAAAGGGGCTGAGTTTGGGCTAAGTCTGAGGCATCTAACTGGAACCCGAAGTCTTGTATTTGCTGCTTTTTAACCATTTGAATTTCTGAGAAAGCAAAAGAGCCCAGCCCACCCTGCCACTCCGCCCCTTTCTGATGGATTGGGTTTTCACCACGTGGAGGGAAATGTCACCTGCATGAACTGGCTGTTGCAGGGGAACCCAGCGCGCCTAAGCTCGAGGGACAGATGGGCGAGGATGGCAACTCGATTAAGGTGAACCTCATCAAGCAGGACGACGGCGGCTCCCCCATCAGGCACTACCTGGTTAGGTACCGGACGGTAAGTGCCTCCCCCGGGCTCAGCCCAGCCCCGCAGCCCTGACCACGACAGGCAGAGCCCAGGCTGGGTGGGGCTGGACGGTCACTCTGTGTTTTGGGCCCTCGTCAGGGTTTAAATCTCAAGACACCTATAGCTATTAGTTCGTGTCCACACTGGAACCCTTTTTTTAAAAAAATTTTTAAATATATATCTTTATTGATTTCAGAGAGAGGAAGGGAGAGGGAGAGAGAGAGATAGAAACATTGACGACGAGAGAGTCTTCATTGATCGGCTGCCTCCTGCACCCCTCCGGGGACAGAGCCTGCAACCCGGGCCTGGGCCCTGACCAGGAATCGAGCCGCGATCTCCTGGATCCTAGGTCGGTGCTCAACCGCGGAGCCACGCCCAGCCGGGCTCACACTGGGACCATTTTAAAAACTCCAAAATTACTGTGGAGGTGACAAACTCATACCATGATTCGTTTTTCTGCTTGAACTTTTATACGAAGTCATTTTGCCACTAGCCGGTGCTTTTTGCAAATAACATACTGACATCTAATCATCGCTACCTCGCGGGCGAGGTGCTGGGATCACACGCATTTTCTCTCCAGGAGAACCCTATGAAGTAGGTCTCACGGTTATCGCCTCATGGCAGAGGAAGTAGGGACTGTGCCGTCACTAAGAGCGTGACCTCACACAGCCGGGCCAGCCAGGGTCGACCCAGAGCCATCTGACGGATGAGACTGGGCTGCTCCCTCATCACCTCCTTACCCCACCCGAGCTGTTCTGATCCTGCTAATGATGAACGTGGCCCTAAGCCTTTTTTTCCTGGTTGGCTGAGCACCCATCTAAGATTTCTATCATTACACCTTTCATCCCCAGCCCCCCAGTTGAGAATCTCTCTCTCCATTTTTGGTTTTAGAACGACACGTGGTCATTGCCAACCACATCCATCCAATTGCTGAGATCTAGAGGCAGTGTCTGACCCCGGGGAGAGTCTATTGCTAGGGTTTCTTACCAGTAGCAGATAATGAACCACAGAGCAGTTGTCTTTCTTCAAATGGCCCCCAAGAAAGGCTTTTGCCAGGAAGGTGACTCCCTCTCTGCCTTTGGATTGGCCCTGTTGAGGTGAACTATGAGCCCTCGCCGGGTCACGCCAACAGGACAGAGCCCTGCGTAGAGGCGGGGGCTGGGCAGGCACCCAGGCAGCGCCCTGGAAGTGGACGGGTAGGATGCAGCACCTCTGGGTGTTACACTGATGTGGCCGGACAGGCGTGGGGCCCAGGTCCAGCTTTACCCCTTACCAGCATGTGACCCCCAGAACACATCTTCTTGTAAAATGGGAACAAAATAACTCATCAGGTTGTTATAAAGATTAGTTATAGTATATGCAGAGAACCTGAAATGTGACTGACACTTGGAAACCTCCATACATGATAAATACAGTGATTACTGCTAAGATGCTGGTTAGGGCGGGGAATGCCTTCCATATGAGGCCCCCTCAGATGTCAGTTTTCCAGAAGAGTCACTGTGGCCGTGCCGGGCACCTCTGAGCTAGAAAGACAACTGGGCAAAACACTGAGGGATGTTAGATTTCAACAACCTTGACCATGCTCTCTTCCACTTAAAAACTTCATGTTTGCTAAATATTATTACTATATATTCACATCTATTCTATAACATAATGATTGTTTTACTAAATACTTGCTTTACATTCTGGCTGTCTCTTTTGTAATGATGTTTGCCAAGGAAAGAAGCTTTTCAGAGAAATAAGGGAAAAGAGCTGAGTTTCTGTTTTCAGTTAAAAAGGGACCACATGGTGGCATATGCACAAGCTAACTCCCAGCATAGCCAGCGTTCTGGTTAGACGTTAAGGAACTAGCGTCCCTCTGGCATCTCCCTGTAATAGTCATGGCCATGACATGGCCATGCCACCTTCCTGAAGGCAGGTCTTTGGCTGAGGCAAATAATTTCACCTGGAAAGGTGGCTCTGCTGTAAGTAACTCTCCCTCCAGCCTCAGCCATGGACCACCCCACCTTCAGGTGACACTGAGAGCATGTTCTGCCCTTCTGAGAAGCAGCTCATCATTAGTAAACATTTGTCAAACCTTTTGTGTGCCCAGCCTTCACCTCTCCAGAGGTTGTGAAGAGCTGGGCCAGGTGAGCAACCGTGAAACCATCTGAATACTTCTCAGGAATTCTGCCGACCTCCTTGTTATATTAGGGAGGTGGCCACCTACCGATGGCTCGATAAATTCCCACTTAGAACACACTCGTTGGTGAATGTGTGGGATAAATTCCCACTTAGAACACACTCGTTGGTGAATGTGTGGGATAAATTCCCACTTAGAACACACTCGTTGGTGAATGTGTGGGATAAATTCCCACTTAGAACACACTCGTTGGTGAATGTGTGGGATAAATTCCCACTTAGAACACACTCGTTGGTGAATGTGTGGGATAAATTCCCACTTAGAACACACTCGTTGGTGAATGTGTGGGATAAATTCCCACTTAGAACACACTCGTTGGTGAATGTGTGGGATAAATTCCCACTTAGAACACACTCGTTGGTGAATGTGTGGGATAAATTCCCACTTAGAACACACTCGTTGGTGAATGTGTGGGATAAATTCCCACTTAGAACACACTCGTTGGTGAATGTGTGGGATAAATTCCCACTTAGAACACACTCGTTGGTGAATGTGTGGGATAAATTCCCACTTAGAACACACTCGTTGGTGAATGTGTGGAAAGAGTATTCAAAGAGAAAAGGGAGCACCTATACCTCCAACTGCAGATTGTACCCGGTGCAGAGCTCTGCTGAGCTGAGTGTACCTTCCTGTGGGCACTCTCAGGGCCCCAATGTTGGACCTGACCGCAGAATTTATACCTGAGGCACCTCCAGCTGTAGTTGTAGAGACTAGTTACACTGCATGGAATAAAAAAGTGCAATTCAGTTCAACAGATGTTTGTTGAGCTCCCTGCCACGAAAAGGCAGGTCACTGCTTTGGGTCCAGATACGCTTGGCCCCAACCAAGACAGCCTCCCACTTCCCTGTCATCAGGCTTAGTAAGGGCCTGACAAAGCCCCTTGCAGGCTTGTTGTTGGGATACAATGAGAAAATGTGTGGAAAGCCTTTAGTATAGTGCCTGGCACAGAATAGGTGCTCAATAAATGATAGTTTAATTTTTTTAAATATATTTTATTGATTTTAGAGAGAGGAAGGGAGAGATAGAAACATCAGTGATGAGAGTCATTGATTAGCTGCCTTTTGCATGCCCCCTACTGGGGATCGATCCTGCAACTTGGGCATGTGCCCTGACTGGGAATCAGACCATTCCCTCCTGGTTCATAGGTCAGGGCTCAACCACTGAGCCATGCCAGCCGGGAAGTAGTTTTATTTTGAATAAAACTGGAATCTATGCAGTGTTTCTGTGTCAGGGAAGTGAGTCGCACACCTGAGTGTGAGCAACACTCCAAAATCTGACAAGCAACATGTTTGCTTTCTCCCTTTTCTAGGACGTACTTAGTCGTATGTGCCCAACACTCCAGAGTGTAGCTTGGGGGATGGACAGGGCTGGTGCTTGAGGTCCTGCACACCCTGAAGGCGATGGGGCAGTGAAGGGTTGGCCCATGCCACACTAGCATCTTCCACTGTTTGTATTTGCAAATAGGTTACCTGACCTGTGTAACCCTTAGGGTTTGTCAGGCTGGTAAAGAATAAACACCATGTCCTATCCTTGGTTTTTATTTTTATTATTTTGCACCAATAGTTATTGACTCCTTTAAGTTCTTCTGTTAGCTAGTCTCACCAGTGTTTTCATCTAAGGCTCCCTGTTGTCTTGTGTCCTTCCTGCCGGTTTTCCCCAGAAACTCTCTTCTGAGTGGAAACCAGAGATCAGGCTCCCGTCTGGCAGTGACCACGTCATGCTCAAGTCCCTGGACTGGAATGCTGAGTATGAGGTCTACGTGGTGGCTGAGAACCAGCAGGGGAAGTCCAAGGCGGCTCATTTTGTGTTCAGGACCTCGGCCCAGCCCACAGCCATCCCAGGTATGAGCCCCCTGCTTTCTGTGAGTTCCCCGCTTTGAATTAATGCACAGTGCTGCACCCCCTAATGTGCCTGGAAACCCTGACAACGCGCTTGCTTACAGCCATCCTCATGACTGGTGCCCATGCAGAGCTTAGTTTTGCTTTTTACCTATCTGTGCAGAGGGTGGAGATGTACTGGGCTCGCAGGAAGGCTTGACCAAGCATCCTGGGCAAAGGTCCTGTGTCACTTGGTCTCAAAGGACTGATGCTAAGCCAGTCCTTGGGAGCCCTCAGGTGGGAAAAGCCCCAGCTCCTGCCAAGCACAGAAGCTGATGAGTAAGGTTCCTTTGTGAGACCTTATCTGCTATACCATTGCATACGAGGGCCACATAACTGTGTTTAAGTGCTTTCTACCTGACGCTTGCTTACCTGCACAGCCATGGTCCAAATCTCTTCTCTTTGGGGACCCCAAGAGAAGGAAGACATGGTGCCTAGTTAGTTAAAAATCCCATCTGCCAAGGGCCTCGCAATTGATTAAAGTGAACCACTTGAAGCAGAACAAGTGGAGAAAGTAGATACTGGAAAATCCCATCTATGAAAGGCAACCAGTCTGCTAGAGATCATGATGGGAGCAGTTCTAGGAGATGCAGGTCCGTCTCTAGGGACGCAGGACCAACTCAATGTGGGAATAAAGTGAGAGCTCTGCTTTCTGGCCCAGCTCCCTTGCCGCTGATGGCCAGTCTCCTAATTGACCACATCCCTCAGAGCAGACGGAGCTCTTCAACATCACTCTTTGCTCTTCCAGACCAGCCAAATGCCATCCACAGGCAGGAGAGGTGGGCATAGAGCACATAGCTGCAGCCTGTCGGAGGGGCCCCATAACCTCTCTGCTACATTCGAGTATGGTAGGAAGATGCTGTGATATCCTGGTGGGATAGGTCTGACCCCCATCATGCCTGTCCTGTCCCGGGCTCTCAGCTAAGTTGTCATGGTATCTCCTCCCAACGGAAGAGAAGCCAGAAAGGATGTGGGCTGCCGACCACAGGGCTCTATGTGTGAAAGTGAGTTATTCAAGCAGCAACAAAGTAAGATCAGTGTGTGATTCTCAGTGGTGGGCTGTGCATGAATGTGTGTGTCTGACGGACATATGGGGGCCTCCAGGAGTTGGCAGGTGGATCTTAAGCCATAGATCAGAGGCGTCCATTGGTCCTACCCTCTACACTGTCAGGGAGACCCCTTAGCGCATGCTGGGGTGACCATGTCTCCGTGGGCACTGGTCAGATGGTCATTGTCAAAGGCAAGGCACCTGGGTGTGGCTGCAAGAAGTGTTTTCACTACTGGTTAATAGGGTGCCTGAATGGAGCTGGCCCTGCCATCCTCCGCCCCTTCTTTCTTCGCGTTCTTTGGTCAGGTGTGTTTTTTTCTTCTTGAAATCGACAGTCTGGTGTGAGTGCCCTGATCTACTCGGCCTTTATGGGACATGGGGGAGCTGAGAGTGAGAGGCTTGAGTAACTCCTTTGCAGCGAGACAGCTTCCTGCTGGCATTTGTCACCAGGGGTAAGACCCCAGAGGCAAGTGGCCTGGCCTTGCTATGTTCATACACTGGGCATGACCAGTAGCAGCACCTTCCACGGTCAGAGAAGTTGGTGGCAGTGTGTGTCAGGTGCAGAAGTCCTGGGAAGACCTTGTCCCTCAGGGTCCTGCCTGCTGGAGATGCCAGAGTCCTTTGTTAATCATTCAGGAGCCCTATTAACCCAGAGAGTGCAGGAGGGGCGGCTTGCTGCACTCTGGGGCTCCCTCGTACAGGCCTCAGAGGAGGTGGCTGTGGCTGGGTTGGACTTACCCAGCCATTGCATTTGGACCTGAGAATAAAACCTGTGTCTTACTAGATGTACGTTCACGGTGGGATTCTGTGGTCAGCAGGTGGTAGGTGAGGGTGCAGAACTAGATGCTCTAGAATAGCACCGTGGGTAGGGGTCGTGCAGTAGGAAAAAGAGTTTCTGGTTGAAAAGGCGGCCCCCTGTCCTATGCACAGTTTGCTACACATACTGCAGTGATCAAACGCATCTCTACCGCTATGTGTAGAGCTCTAGCGGCTGGAAGGCCATGGGTAGGCTCGTTGACTCTAAGAGACCTCACCTTAGCCAAAGGTAACACTCTCCTAATCAAACTCTTGTGTTTTACTATGGAGGCTTCTGTTCTCTCACTTTAATTTCATTCGCTCGCTGACCCCTAACCCCCGAATTCACCCTGCTGTGCTGCTTCTGACCTTGCTGAGCTTGGAGCTGGCCCCGTGGTAATAACCGCACTGAACTCTTCTCTAACCTCCGTCCGTTTAATTTACTAAAGTTGAATTAACCTTTGATTCTTGCGTTTTCTATATTTGACCTAATTTTTTTCTTTTTATCTATTTTTTTCCTCTGTTTCTGTCTCTACCTTCTCTTTTCTCCTCCCCTTCCCCTTTCTGTGTCTGTCGTCACACACATCACCTTGGACGTCACTGGGATACCCCCACTGCCACCTTTGTTTTAAACAACCACATTCTGTCTGGGGACCCTTTGCTTGGCACGTGCAGCGACCCTGGGAGGCTCCTCTGTGTCCTACACCTTTGTCTCATTGCTTTTCTCTGCAGTGACTCTTCTTTTGCTCTGTTAGGAACTTAAGAACACACACAAAAAATTAAATTTGCTTAAAGCCCAGTTCCTATGAGAATGATCAGTGCCCCTTTGGAAGAGCGGCCACAGCACCACGCACTCTGGTGGAAGAGGCAGGCTTGGCAATTGGAGAAAGCTGGACTCCAGACGATTTACCATTTCCATATATCTTTGTGCCACTCCATAAGGAGTTCCCCCCTTTTAGTGGCAGTACAAAGTATTCGGGAGCTCTTCCTTTAAACAGTATTTAAAAAGCATTTTGCTAGGTTTACAGAGACATTTCTGCACATCTGCTACTTTTTGCATTTTTTTTGTTCCTACCTGAAAATGATGTAGCAGAGGAAGATATCTGAGCACCCCTAAAGCTTGTATCAGCTCGTTAAAATCCCCACGCGCCCCCATTCTAACCCCATGGTCCCCCTCTGCCCCTCAATCCATAGTTGGCTTTGCTTGTGTTTCAGTGCCCATGGTAAGGGAGCCGGACCACTGTGACTCACCTGAGCATTAATGGCGTGATGGTCAATTAAGTCACCCTGTTGCCCCTGCAGCAGAAGAAACTGGATTTGTTGAGTATTTACTGGGGCTGATCAAACATTCTGGGAGGAACTTTGGTCCTGCTATTATAACCAGCACCTTCTGCTGGCTCTGTGAGCAGGGCCACCCTGTAATGTGCCCAACACATGTCCGTTTTTTGTGTCTCCCAGGCGGGGTGATAACCTGCTGCACAACTGCAGATCAGCACCGAGCCTCATGTCTCGGGGACTGCGGTACAGTGGTGACCCACATTATCACATAACTCAGCCCCCTGGGTGGGAAGCATTCACTGTGAGCCAGGCGTGAACTGTGCACCCTCCCCAACATGCTCACAGGGAGGAAGAGAGGGGACAGGCCACTCCCATTGCCCAGCCTGGACTGTGGACAAATCCAAACTCAGTCAGCCTGTCATACTTCCCGAATGCACCAAGCCCCCTAATGGTTAGTGGCTTTGGTGACATTTTTAAAACTGATGAAAGCCAGCTGCCTTTCTCTGTCCTAGGGGATTATGCCTCCCCACATGCCCAGGAGAGGAAGTGGGGTGTTTGTGAAAGTCCCACACAGACTCAGGGTGAGTCCTGCTTAGTAACATCAGTGTGTGCTTTGGGATGGGGCTTCAACTGAATAAAAACTCCCTCCTCCATTGTGGTCACATATCATTCTACATGTCTCATCTCTGAGCATCTCCACAGAAGCCTGACTTTTGTTCTTTTTGGTCTCTTTAATTTTTAGTTCTGTTGTTATTTTTTAATGTTCAAAGACTAGCCTTTCCCTTTGGGAGCCCAAGGGATCCCGTGGTTTTCAGCAAGCTGCCCATGTCCCTTGCACTCACAGTTTAGACGCTCAAGTGCAGACACCAGAGGCTGAATGTTGCCCAACAGCTCAGCTAGTGCCTCCAGCCCCAGCCCCAGCCGCCTGCTGCCCCAGCCCCAGCTGCCTCCAGCCCCAGCCCCAGCCCCAGCCCCAGCCCCACTCAGGCCTCTCCCTCTGGAGTTCCTGGCCGCCTCACCACGGGGCGGCAGGAGCAGCATGGTTCTCAGGCACAAGGCAGAGCATTGAGGAGAGACAGGTGGTGCCTCCGGGCCTGGGGTGGGAATCCCAGGTCAGTTAGCAAGAGCTGTAGAGAGGGCAAGGGAGGGACAGGTGATCAGCCCTCACTGTCCTCCAGGCTCCCAGCATATTCTTGATATCACCTTGGGCAGAAGCCATCCAGAAGCACCCACTTCGGGGGTCTGCCCTACCCAGGTCCACGTCCCACCCACATGTGAGGGACAATGTCAGTGTCTCTGAAGGGATTCTTTGGAGATCTAGCCCAGGCAGGCCTCAGCTGAAGTAGCTTTGGGGCCCCTGCAGGGGTCGCATTCAGACAGGCCTGCGGTTTGTAGTGAGATGCCCTTCGAGAGGCAGCTTGAGGACACCACTCCCAGCGGACACTGAGTTCTCGGGCCTGGCTGCAGCCCTGCCCCGCCAGGAATCCCTAAAGTAGTGACCCTGAGAGAGCCCTGCAGGAGCCCGCGCTCGCTGCCCAGCCCCGCCCCGCCGCTCTCCCACATCCCTGCCGCCCAGCCTCCAGCGCCACAGGGTGTCTCTGCTCACTTTGGGAATATTTATACGGCTGGTTTGGATCATGTTTTCTACTAATGAGAATTCTAACATTGTTGTGTAGATAATCAGTGAGGCCTTTATGACGTTTACACCTTCGCTTTATTAAAGGAAATAACAGTCACGTGAACTCTCCAGCGTCTTTTGATTTTATCTGAGTTGTGTGTCCTGCAAAGTGTCAAGTCCTTTCCCTCCACCTCACATGTACCTGGATAACTCTGATTACCCAAGAGGGCATGTAAATTGCACCCCAAACTCGCAGCCTGCTAAGTGGAGCTCTGGCAAAGGAAATGCCTTCCTCTCCCAATGAGGAGCTGTGCGTTTTTCTCAGCTGTCTGAGGAGCTGCTGTGTGTCCCTGCCTCCTGGCAGGCAGGGGGAGGGGAAAGTGCCTTTGCAGAACCAAAAGATGGTCACTTTGGGGTCAGGGGCACACTCTGGGCCACCAAGTATCCAACTTTTAGCAAGGCCTCAGATTTCATAGCTCCCTTTAAAACTCCATCCACACAGAGGCTGCACAGGGTGGCCTTGTGGTAGCGAGAATCTGAAAGCTTTCATTGGCAAGCCCGGCTCTGTGAGTAATCACACGTCGTTGGACGCTTCCTGGAAGCCCTCCAGCCAGCCTTCAGGTTGGCAGATCCTGGCAGGAGCAAGCAGACATGTCAGGGTTTGGGAGTGAACCAGAACCCAGCTCAGCAGTTCTGAGTCATGGGCTGAAGGGGGCGCTTCTGCTGCACTGAGACCCTGTGGGCCCCCTGGGCTCCTGTAAATGTGAGACTCGTATTCTCAATTCGAGGCACTTAAGAAGGTAAGCCTGTGCAGGGCTCAGGTTTGGGGCAAGGCAGTTACCAATTCAGCGCGAACCTCTCCCAAACCAGAAACCGCAGAAGATGGACAGCCAGGCTTCGTACCCCGCTGCTCAGGTCAGCTCTAACCCCAAGGTTGCGGTGGAGCTGCACTTAAAAAGCGCTCTTTGCAGGCAGGTGTGCGGCACGAGTCAATCCAGGAAGCCAGGAGGAAGAGGCTGCAAAGATAGACCCCAGGGGGCGTTTTCTTTTTCCTATGGTAAAATGTCACATGCAGTGCAGGAGATGACCTTTGTCCTTCTGGCTGTCCTGCACTAAACAATTCTGTAACATGCACTGAGAGATCGTGAATTTGGATTTGGCTTGGTGTTCCCCTATTTATGCTTCTTTTTGTGAAGGTTACACACGCTTCTCCTGCCCGAGGAGCACCCAGCCTCCTCCAAGAGCCTTGGCTCTGAGTGAACTGGGTGGCTCCTTTTCCTTTGGGGACAGTCTGCTTTCTCTTCATTCAGTACATCAGTTAGGTCAAGGCCACCAGGTGGGACTCCACGGCCCATCCTTGGGTGGTGAGTCATAGTAACGGCTGCTCCCCAATGTAATGCAGGGACAGAAGAGCTAGAAACAGTGGTCCTCCAGCCCTAGGACCCATAAGGATCACCTGGGTGCCTGATCAGATCCTGATTCCTGAACCTCACCCCCAGAGATGCTGATTCGATGGAATTGGGAGGCCCCAGAATCTGAATTTTTAACAAAGCACCCAGGAATTCTGCTGTAGTTGGAAAAACATTACACTGAGATATTTATTTTTCATATGAAAAGATGGGACCTACCGAGTGGTTTAGTCCTACACGAGAAGGCCCTCAACCCGCACTCTGGAGGAGATTGACATGGGAACTCTGTGCCAGGTACTGGCTACTGCAGGACATCGATGTGCAGGGACAGGCTCTATGGTTGGAGAGGACTTCAAGACATCCCCTTTCCTAGGCCCTGCTCGGTGCAGGAACCTCAACCAGAGCATGGCAATATCCCTACCAAGGGGTGTCCAGCCTCTGCTGGGCTGCCTCCAGCAGCAGGAAGCTCACCTGCCCAGGCAGCTCACACCACCTTTGAATACCTCTGTGTGCTAATTCTTTATTATATGGAGCTGAAATCTGCTTCCCACCCCACAGTTCTCATCCACTGGTGAAACCAAATAAGACTACTCTTCCTTCTCACAACACATCTGTAACTACCTGGAGGCAGCAATCTCCTCTCCAGGCTAAATACCCTTTAATTACAAGTGATGTTCTTTGAACATGTCCTATACGTTGGGTTGTCCTAGATGCTGGGGAGACAGACAGGGTACCTGCTAGGACATTCTAGAGGACACATGTAAATGAGCAGAAAAAGGTAAATAGTGGTGAGAAGGGAATTAAACAGGTAATGTGGCAGATTTGGGGTAGAAGTGCTGAGTAAGTAAGTGAAGGGCTGACATTTGAGCTGATGTTTTCAGGACAATGAGGCGATAGGGAGGGAGTGGTCCAGGTTAGGGATCAGCAGGCCTTGAGGGGAACAGCGGTGTGTTCAGCAGGTAAACAGAAGGCTCCACCAGTTGGAGCACAAAGGTGGGGGCCCGGTCAGTGCCATGAATTACAATGGTTGGAGGAGGGGCAGAGTCCAAGCAGCCTACGTAGGACCCTCAGGCCAGGAGAAATAATTTGAATTTTACATCAAAGGAAATGGGAGACCACAGCCCTACTTTTGCATTAATGCCACAGTCTTTCACCCTCCTGGCCCTCTGGCCCTCCCCTGAATGTGCTCACGGTGTTGGCTTTAGGACCCAGTGCAGCCCTCAAGCTGGGTCTGCTGAGCCCAGAGCACCAGCTGGACAGCTTCTGCTGACTCTCATACATAGAGCAGCCTCCAATCGTTTATTTTTCCTCTTTAGATATGATTAGTCTCCTAAAACCATATTTATGTATAAACCTCAGAATGAGGAGTTAGTGCCATTGAGTCCAAAAATACATACATCCCCCCCCCCCCC